AGGTGCATGCGGATTGTAGCTGCGAATGCTACGGAAAGTATAAAAGCATGCAACTTTAGATTATTCTGTTAGTTCGTTCTAGAAGTCTTTAGAAGTAGTATTCGGCTAGAGTAGAGCTGTGTAGTTAATCTTTGTATAAGATTCAATAAAGCCCTTATTTTTCTAAAATTTGGAATTTCGTGATTGGTATATATCACAATCTTGAAAGTAGTTTAATTCGAAATTGAATCATTGCAGCCAATATTTAATTGATCGAAACAATGATTTCGCGAACAGGGAGTATTAAAATGCCAAGCTAGTAAACAACAGTCCGTGAATCATATTACATATGTTATTATATGTACGGAGAATTTTGGCCTAATTACAACAGGATATAAAATTATTTAAATGACGAATCTTAAATTTAATTTATCCTATCAGTTACCGCATATCATTTAGAATCTAGTAGCATAGATACAAGCTGCACTTATCGCGGTAGATATACAGTAATAGAGCTAACTTTATGAATTTTCAATATTTGCGATGGGATAAGCTTCACTCTGTCTCTTGTATTCAGTTTTCAATAACATTCTGATTGACTAAAACTATAAAAGTGGCAGAGTACAGAAATCTGAATAAATTATAAGTCACATTCTTTCGGATTACGCTAAAATCTGATCATTAAGATAGACGTACATAATTATTCTTATTCTTTTTACGTCACACACTTGTATCTTCTAGGGGAATTAAACAGTTAAGCATAATTTTAAAATCATTCTTCAGGATTGCACTAAAATACGATCAATTCAATATATGTGGGTAATTATTTTACTAATTTTTATTTTGGGTATTATATCTTCTTGAAGAGTCACGTCAATCTTGTCGCCGCCTGTAGGTTTAACATTTTTGTTTTGCTATCGGGTACTGATATTTGTTTAGCATAGCTCTGATGTAATGTCTTTATACTACCTATAGTTATTGCGTACTCGTTCAGTAAAAGTTTTCTTAAGTTCAAATGAGATAAAACTTCTTAATTGTGATATAGAAGCGTTTCCTGTCACATTGATCAAGCATAATGAAGAGTAGAATCTTCTATTTCTTCTCAATCTATCTATTTATGCGGTGCATGTTTTGCATCTATAAATATATGTTACGATTTTTCCTTTTCATAAGATTTTCTTGCGATAAGATTAAAAGAGTCCACTAGAGCTTGGGAACTGAACTAAATTTTATTACGAATATTAGTACCATTATATTATCACATCAATTAACGATATAACTAAGATTATTATGAATAACATACGATAAGAGCGTATCGTATTAAAAGTGCTATCTAAGCCTTAATCTTAATGATTACAGTTCCGAAATAAAAACATGCGTCTGCATTTTAGTCATCAAATAAACATACATACATTACGAATCATAACTACGAGTCTAACAAAGTAACTTTCCACTTTGTAACAATATGCTGTACAGTGTACACTTTACCGTACCATATACTCTCACAGCTCTATCATTCTTTGTTTACATGCAATTTAATACAGTAAAAATGGAAACTATGAGACTATTTTTGTAATATAGTAAAATTTTTAACGAAAGTAGAAAAAGAAATAATTTGTATAATTAATGCCCCAACACATCCTACAGCAATAATAATAACTGCTCCTTGTGGAAGAAGTCCAGTATTAGTACGAGTATCACATCTTGTCCAGTATATGATTTGTCGTAAATACATAAGCGCTGATTATTTTCAGATGTACAAGTTCCACGATTTTGACAATAATTTGCGCTACAGACAAGAATATAGCCCGTAATTTCATATTATCACCTTGATACTCTACTTGATATGTAAAAGTATAAGATTCTGCTGTGTTCGAACATATAGCGATCCATTTTTGGACATAATTGTTCACAAATTTGCGCCTATATAAACGGATCTGAAATATGTTCATGCATGAAAGGTTACGCGCTAACACAATATGAACCATGTGCGTTTGTACGGTTTGCATTTTGACTACAGGTATTATTTTCTAAACATTCATTAATATCGTCACATGTCCAACCATCTGAACCAAATCGATAGCCGTTCATACAACTACATGTACAGCTACCATCGTTGTTTGTACATAGTTGATTACATGGACTAGGATTGAGGCTGCATTCATCGACATCTTCACATTCAGTCTGACTTCCATATGTTAGCGCGTAACCTTTCATACATGAACATATTTCAGATCCGTTTATATAGTTGCAAATTTGCGAACAATTATGTCCAAAATCACATGGATCGCTAACGCTACATGTTAGGTTGTTATTATTTAGTTCAAAACCTTGTTCACACTCACATGTAAACGATCCTTCTGTATTAATACAAACTTGGTAACATGGTCTAAATCGTTGGCATTCATTTATATCCACGCAAGTAAGTTTATCACTACTTAACTCGTAACCTTGAATACATGAACATGTATAACTTCTGATGGTGTTATTACAAATCTGGCTACAATTATTAGACATATTTTGACACTCATCTACGTCATAACAGTTTATGCTATCGCCTACATAGCCCGAATTACAAGCGCAGCTATAAGAACCAATTTGATTAGTACATGAGC